GGAAAGGCAGTGGCATTGAATTCATAAAAACTTGATTAAGAATGGTCCTTTCTCTGAAGCGAGCATGTATTGAACACAGCAATTTGCAACCTCAGGCACACAACAAAGAACAACCGAAAATCTCTGCCTAAGTTAAGATACAGCCAGGTAAAACACACTGAGAGCACACACAACTTTATTACATTCAATTTTAAAGTAAACTAACAAAAAAGACAAGAGAAAGCCTGGCATAAGTCTTATGTAATCCTGAGGGCAGAGGGTCTCTTTACAGCCAGGTATTCAGAAAGTCCTTCTTGGGGAATCAGCAGATTGTCTTAGTGTTGGAGTGGAGATCCCACAGGCCTCATCTCTACTTGGGCTTTTACAGGTGCACTTGCACCCCCTTCTTCCCCTTGGGTGCCTTGACATTAGTATGTTTGTCACCTATAGCACCTTTGGCAGGAATCTTATGCATTCAGTGTCTTTTGTCTCTTAGGTATTCCTATCTCCCACCTTTTCAGGTTCTGCTTTATAATGTAAATGTAGTTCTCTGCTTTCTTTGCTCACACCAGGCCAAACAGTCCCTCTCCTGTTCCCTTAGCTCCATCTCCAGCACATATTTGTTATGATTGTGCCAGGTCTTTGCCAGCACCTCCCACCTCTCAGTCTGGTCCTGCAGGGCTTGGCCCTGTGCTCACAGGTGACAGGGGACCAGTCTCTCCAGCTCAGGTTCCCCAGCCTCTTCCCCCCTCCCCAATGGCCTGGGGGAACTGAGGGGAATTATGCCCGCTCCCCCACCCCTTATCAACTGCTTTCCTGCCTCAATCTCTACCAGAGGTGGGAGGGGGTGGAGTCTGCTGGTCTCCTGCTATTTTATAATGTAAATGTAGTTCTCTGCTTTCTTTGGTCATAGCAGGTAAAGCAGTCTGGGACCCTCTCCTGGCACCAGCACACTGAACTATGGAAGGGGGAATTAGAGCCCCTCCAAGACCCCAGCTGGGGGTTGCCTGAGAGGGTGGGGGCAATTCCTCTCAGGCTGTTGCCCCCGCTCCATGCCTTGCCCCCTGTGCTCCAGTGGGGAAAATTCTGGCAGGGGCTGTGCCCCCCATCCCCTCCTGCCTCAGGCAGACCCGGCTGCAGTCCCCAGCTGGATTTCCCACCCCCACCTCCTTGTCAGCCAGCTCTCAGTGCTTCAGCTAGGGAGCAGAGGTGCATGGCCAACCCTGCTCTCTGGAGCAGATGGCACAGTCCAGCTTGCAGCTGCAAAGCATCCTGGGATGCTGGGGGACTGTGATTTAACTTGAACCAGGAAGGGGTCTGGGACAGAAGTTTCATAAACCAGTTTGACCTAAATCAGTTTACTCTGATACTACATTCACCTGGGTTTATCTTAAACCAGTTTCAGCCATTTTGAAACTGGTTTATGTGCACTGAACTTGTTACAGATTTAAACCGGTTTCTGATCACTTAAACCAGTTTACATGTAACTTCTGTCCCTAGCCATCAAGAACAGGTTTTGGTTAAGAGTGCATACAACTAAATAGTTGATGACATAGTAGCTACATACATGTTAGCCATACATGCTTCTCTGGGTACTTTGCTATAAATGCAGTAGATACTCCTTTCTCATTCAGGTTGTGTTCAGGGGTTTGCACATTCATAGCAGAAATTCCACTTGATCATTCTCATCTGGCTCCAACGTTTAGGGGTAGAACACTGAATCTCTAAGGCCCCCATTCCTGGGGTTACCAATTCTCTCCTCAGAACTAAAGAGCACCCAAGTGCTTCTAATGCAGTCCAGGGGTCAAGTATTCTCATCCAGGGACCAAGATTGCAGTTCTAACATGTGAAATCAGATGCCTACCCTTGGGGTGCTGAATCTTCCTGTATAGTGGTGGTAGCTGGAGGCCTGCATAGGGCAGAGCAGTCAGATAGACTGTCTCTTGGCCTTATGCCTACATGTGACAGAGGGTAAACAGAGATGGTGTAAAAAGTAAAAAAAGGATTATTTTAGAGTGGAAAGAAGGTATCAAAATGGGCCTTCATATCTCTGACCTGATCCCCAAGTCACTGTGATACAAGCTACCAAATTAGGGGTAGGGTAAGAATGAGTTGGCCCCTGTAAACCTGCTTTGGATACAGCTAGCAAGGCATAAGATGAAGTTATTTAAGGACCTTTATCTTCTAGTCAAAATACTCCCCAAAAGACTCCCACGGTTATTCCTGGTTCTTCAGGTATTATACATACCTTTCCCCAGGAAAGAAAGTCACAATATTTGGGGGCATCCTACAAATGTTGAGATTTAAACTGGGGTGTTATCAATTGAATTAAGCCTGAGTTGTTATGCACTAAACCACGTTTAACTGTAGAAAGGTTAGAAGTGTCCCTTTCTGTATGTCAAATGTATTCAGTGTAGTCATCTTAATACAAAAAGATTTACTGTGACTACTTGGTGTTCTAAAAATATGATTTATATTCCCAAAGCAGTAAGTTGTTGATGCATGTTCCTGTTAGTAAACCAAAGCTGTTGAAAATGCATTTTGAGTATAGTACTTTGCAGGTTTGGTTTTGTTTTGTTTTTTTTTAAATGTCTAACTTGGATGTTTTTCTTTGAGTGTGACTATATTGGGAGAATATAGTCATACTTGTCAAATATTTATCTTCAGTAAGTTTGAGTAAGAAAAGTAATACACTATCCTTTAATTGAAATATTCTCTCTAATCAGATTAACAGTTCTGATTTAGAAAGGTAACCCACATAGTTACCAAACACCCCCAGGCCTTGACTCCCAGTGCCAGGCCCAGTTTTAGCAATCTACCACCCAGGCTGCATAGTGTATGTGGAAGGGTCCTCAATGGTACTAAACTCCATGCGCAAAGGGGAAGCAGTCTTACACCTGGAAAGCAGCAGCCTTTGCAGCTTGCAGAAGAAAATCCTAGTGCCTGGGTGAACCTGCAGTTTATAATTAAAGTAATGCACAAGACATGGAGAAGACAGACGTAAAACTGCTTTCTATTCCCCTTTTCCATGTCTTGCGTATATGTGTCTTGATCAGTCATAAATCTACTTTTTAAACTGTCCTCACTCTTCAGTGGACACGGAAACCGTTTTCTACTCATGAAGTATAAAAGGGACATACATAGTATTAAAAGAAAATTTAATTTAGAAGCTGTTTCAAGCAATTGTTCACCCTAGGGGGAAAAAAGAACACACAAATGGAGGTGGACAAGAAGCAACCCTGAATCCTAGTTCCACAAGGGTGCTGGAGTATAGAAGGTACTTAGTCCCATCCCAGTACTCCTGCTAACAGAATACAGGAAACCCTTGTTATTCGCAGGTTCGGCATTCGTGGTTTCAAATATTCTCGAATGCCGAACCCACATTTTAAATACACTTTATACACTTACAGGAGCTCCTTGGGAGCTCCATGCTGGCTGCCACCGGGATCCCACTGGAGCCTTACTCCCACCTCCAGCTGCTGGGGGCACTGTGTTCATGAACGCAGTGCTCTATTCATGGATTTCGCCATTCGCGAGGGATACAAGAACGTATCCCTCGCGAATGGCGAGGGTCGCCTGTACAAGGCAGCTCTCATGGTAGTAGACTTTGGGGAGACCTAGAAACAGGGATAATGAGAAAGGGGGTAAGAGGGAAGACAAATACATGATACGTTCACTCCTAACTGACATTAACCAGTGGAACAGATCCTACTTAAAGGGGGCATATATCAACTTCTTTCTACACGGATAGCAGAAGCTGTTCTTGTCAGTGTGGTGGCAAAACCACATATTTTTTATCTTTAATATGCAATATTGTTTATAGGTTTACGAAATCATAAATAGGTAAGAAAGACACTGGTAAAACATTGGTAAAATTTTACCATTTGAGTATTCAACTTTCTTCTAGATGCCATGCTATTTGAGTGTATGTACTACTTACAACCTGGTT